CCCAACGTCACCTTCGATGACGTCTAAGAAAAGCTGTTGGATCTGGACTCACGGCGCAACAACGATGGACAGGCGGCTGGAGAAGCCTACACAACCAGGCGAGGAAACCCAAGACACGGAAACAACAACAGAGTCAGGAGTCCACGTAACAACGAAACAGGAAATCGGGACATCACATGCACCTGGTGCACCAAGAATGGAGAATATGCAAAAGGCCACACACACAAAAACTGCCGGAAACTCAAAGCTTCCAGAGACAAGGAGAAGTCCGCTGCATCTGGCAATCTCAACGTCGCGTCTGGTACTGGATTTCACACAAAACTCGACCTCTCTTGGATCCCCGATCTTTCTGGCCTTCCCGCACTCGAAGAAACCGATGTATTCACAATACCGGTTGACTTCGACCTCACCAACTTCTCAGATGACACCTCGGACATGACCATGGAAGACTACTTTGGATTCATTGCAGGACCTTCCACCACCGACAACAAAGCATGGATTCCTCGACCCTGGTGCAACCAACCACATGACCGGAACGCTGGTTACCGACCCCACTCCCCATACTGGAACAGTTACGGTTGGAGGAGGTCGCAAACTCCAGATAACCGGAATTGGCAACGTCACCATCAACGGATCACATGGCCTGATCACTCTGCAGAACGTAATCTTGATCCCCGAATTAGGCAACACCAACCTGATGTCTTGGTCTTGCATCGCTAAAAAGGGATTCACCACAACTGGGACGGAAGACGACTTTACCATCTACAAACCGAACAGCAAGGAAATTATTGGGATCGCTAACGCAAATAGTAATGGCCTTTATATTTTTGAAACCAAGGAACCCTGCGCACACCTCTCTGCCGCCACCAGCTTCTATCACTGGCACCAACGGCTAGGACATCTCCCCGCTTCCTCGCTCTCACGGCTTCGCACCATGGTCGCCGACCCCAAGTCCCTCCCCACATCTGGTCACATGGAAACATGCAACACATGTGAACTCGCTAAATCAACCAAGTCACACCTCGCTCCTCTCACCGAACCCCAATCCAAACAACCACTGGAACTAATACACTCGGATCTGAGCGGCAAGTTTTCGACTCCTTCTCTGGGCGGTTTCAGTTACTATATCACTTTCATCGACGATTATTCCAGGTACGCTCACCTCTACTTCCTTAAAAAGAAGTCAGATGCAGCAGCTGCCACGGAACGATACATCGCCTACATGGAAAATCAAATGGATAAAACGGTTAAACGGTTTCGAAGCGACAATGGTGGCGAGTACATCTCCAACGACCTTCAACAATTTTTTGCCTCCAAAGGCATAAAGCATGAATTCACTGTACCTTACTCTCACGAGTTAAATGGAACAGCAGAACGCTTTAACAGGACTATAGCAATAATGGTACGATCCGCCTTGCTCGACCACAAACTCCCAAAAGACCTATGGGCAGAAGCGATCAACACCATTGTACACGTCAAAAATCGACTCCCGCACAAATCACTCCCGAACATGACACCATACGTGTTACAGGAACTACGGAGCACTGTTCTAGAAGCTTAGGACGGTGAGGAATACGAGTGACGGGTTGTGATGCGAGGACGGTCGGGTAACGAAAGGACAAGCATAGAAAGGTATCGGGTAGTGTGGGGGCGCGCGGTGTCACCACGCTAGTCCCATACTATTATGACGCCACGCTTACTGTTGGGTGTCTCACCCGAAATAGAATAGGAAGCGGGGCTTACGGCTGTAGGCTGTTCTACTCAGGGAAGTAGGTCTAGGATAATAGTATGGTACAGCCCGATGACTGGCAATTGCAAGGTTCATGGTTACGTATCTGAATTAGAATGGAGGGCGGAACTATGCGGGGGCGCTTTTCTATCTGGGTTATCTTCGGGAGCATTATCTTATTCTATTATCGTTGTATCAGTTAGTATTAGAAAGCGGGCCTTGGGATAGTTTCCAACATGTATAAATAGGGCGGGATTCTGCGAAGACTTGAGGGTACCATCGACCATCAAGTCAAGGGAATCCGGTTTACAATATCATCAGTTTAAACGCTACAGAATTATCGCTTAGCACTGGCTATTTCCCCAAACAATACGAAGCACTTACCGGCAAAAAACCCTTTATTGGGCACCTCCGATACTTCGGTGAAACCATGTTCATACACATACCCGTCGAAGCATGACCAGCTGGAACAAAACTGGATGCAAGGGCTATAACGGGACAATTCTGCGGATACGGAGACTCTGAAAAAATCTGTCGCGTCTACATACCATCACAAAGGAAAGTAGTTCTCTCTCGACATTTTAGGTTTAAAGGTACATCCGTAGGGGAAGAAATCGAAATCAAAACAAAAACCGATACACCCCCTAAACCAAAACAAATCGAGATCAAACAAGAACCACCCTCACGTCCGTCAACACCAAAACAACATAAGACATATGACGAGAACCCAAGTGACGATGACATGCTCAATCAACAGATAAAGCACGAACCCATGGAATATTTCTCCGACACTGACTCGGAAGCCCACGCAAGTATAGTGGGGGCCGGCTATATGAGGCCCGCCACTGAACGTACCCCGCATGATGATAATGAAACAGATACTGATCAACCGAGACGTAACCCAGCACGGGAACGGAAAGCCCCGGTCAGACACGGATACAACATTCAGCATGACACTACCCTAACAGAACCAACAAACTATCACCAAGCGATCAACAGTCCTGACTCCGAAAAATGGCAAAATGCTATGAAAGTTGAACTCGATTCACTCGCAAGGAATAACACATGGAATCTGGTCAACACACCGGATCACCGCAAACTGGTCGACTGCAAATGGATATATAAAATCAAACTCGGGCCCGATGGTAACCCCATACGGTACAAAGCCCGACTAGTCGCAAAAGGTTTCTCACAGGTCCCTGCTCAAGATTTCGATCAAACTTATGCCCCCGTCACTCGATACGAATCCATCAGACTACTCCTCGCTCGCTGGCTTCAAACTGGTGGCCAATGCGATCAGATGGACGTCACTAGCGCATTCCTATATGGGGAACTCAAGGAAGAAATCCACATGAAATCTCCTCCAGGCTACCCCACTCCCGGCAAAGCATGCAAACTATTCAAATGCATCTACGGCCTCAAACAAATCATCAAGGGAATGGCATGCCCGCCTCTCAAAAGCGCTAATCAAAATAGGATTCAGAAAAGCAGACTTCGACCCCTGCGTCTTCATACACAAAACAGGGGAAGTCGTCATCGCTATCTACGTGGACGATATCCTCATCTTCTACTGGTCCGTTGAACGCAAAAACGGCGTCAGCCTCCTCCTCCACTCTGAATTCGAAATGACGGAAACTGGCACAGCCAACTGGTCACTTGGAATCCACCTGATCCACACCAAAACCGGCATCATCTTTTCACAGGAAGCCTATCTCAAGCGTGTACTCATCAAATACGGTTTCAACGAATCCAGACCTGTGGCAACACCTATCGACAACAACGTCCACCTCCAAAAAGGAACGGAAACTGAGAAAATCGACGATCCAACAATTTATCAGTCAATAATCGGTTCACTCATGTACGCAGTAATTGGCACTAGACCCGACCTCGCCTACACCGTCACGAAGCTCTCCCAATTCTCCTACTGTCCTACCAAGGCTAATCTAGCTGCAGTCCATCGCGTCCTCTGTTATCTCAAGGGTACCCTCGATTGGTCACTCTTTTACGCCAAGACTCGACCAACTGCACTCATCTGCTACAGCAACGCAAGCTATGCCTCCGACATCGACGATCGCCGCTCATTCACCGGCCATTGCTTTATGCTAGGGGAAGCTCTCATATCCTGGTGTTCTTATAAGCAACGATCTGTCGCCACTTCTACAACTGAAGCGGAATACATGGCCCTCTCGGACACCAGTCGACAACTGATCTGGTTAAGGAATGCAATCAATGAGCTGGAACGAAAACCGAATCTCTCTTTCATTCTTCGAGGCGACAACAACGGCTCTCTCTCTTTGGTTAAAAATCCTGTCTTTCATAAAAGGTCTAAACACCTTGACGTACATTTTCATTTTGTTCGGGAACGGTTTGAGGATGAATTATTTGAACTAGAATATATTTCTACGAACGAGAACGTGGCGGATTTACTTACAAAGGAATTGGATAAAGGCAAACATGTTTTATTTTCTTCTACTATTCACTGTTGCTCACGAGGGGAAGTCTTGAAATAGAGCGCTCGGCACGTTTCATAGTTCTGGAAGATTCTCATCATTTCATTATAGTATTTGTCATCGGCGTATGACTCACTTTCCTACTAGTCATTCTATTTACTCAGACGTCCATGACTCATTGTATTCCTTTTGTACTACCTTTCATTAGTATAAGTATGGGGCATTCCCCCTTAGCTAGAACAATTAACACGATCAATTACTTTACTTCTCCTACATACTTTCTCTAAGAAGCCGCCCGGTGCTTCCAACCCCTCTCAGTATTCAACTGGTCGGCGGTGTATCCGCTGATTCTTTCGGGTTTCGACAACTAACTGCACTTTTCACATGTTGTTCCCCGGTCGCTGGGGCAAATAGTTCTGCGACCGGGTTACCAAAGACCATGCGGTGTTCATCTAGCATTTGTATAACTCTGTCGACAGAGGCTTAAGGATCGGAGAGAGGAGGATAATCCTCGTAGGCAAAGGATTTGGAACGATTATGGGCTGAGGTTGATGGCCACCTTCGCTTCATCCCGCCGGGTTTCTTTCACTGTTTTTCAAGACCGGCTAACGGGTTGAGACGGAGCATCAGAATCAGTATTTTGCTCGGCAGTGCCGATTACACTGTTTTGTTATAGGAAACAGCATGCGGCGCGGTTACAGAACCCTCAAACCACCTCCCCCCACACCCCCGCACCCCCCACCTCCAACATCTCCCCCACCGTCACCAAAACGAAACCTGCCGCCCCAGATACTGCTCCTGCAGCAACACCCACTACGCCGTCAGCATAGCCCCTCCGTCCGCCCACGCTCAGCGTACTTGCGCGCGTCCCACGAGACGACGAGGCCGTACCCGCGCAGCGCAGCGTGTCCTTGGCCCCGTACTTCCAGTGCGCGACGTGAAGTTGATGAGGTGGGGGGGAGGTGAGCGTGGTGAGGTGTGAGGCTGTTGGGGGTGCGCGTGCGTGTGGGTGCGGGGGGTGCGGGTGGGGTGGTCATTGTGGGGGTTTGGAATGCAGGGGTGTGGTCCGGGGAAGGACAGTCGGATTCGTGCTGAGGGTTGCGATTGGTGCGGGTGGCGATGGGACGGGGAGTGGCTGAGGCTGAGGGTGGGGTGGGTTAGGGTTGTGTTGTGGGTCGGTAATTGTTGTTATTTGGGTTTGGGGGGGGGGGGGGGGTGGGTTTGGCGCGTTGCCTGGAGGTTGATGTTTCTAGGTATTGCCGGGTGACAAAAGTAACCGTGATTTTGTGTAGCAACCAGGAAAGATTGCCCAAATCGACCAACTCCCAAAATCGGTTCTCGAGATTTATACCCAAGGGATAGGTTCTGTCAATCTAAGGATTTCTAATTAAACAATCCTTTATTTCATATCTATTATGGTTGTGGAGTTACACTTGTTTCAGGACGCATTCCCATACAAAGTCTGGTTGCACAGCTATACTTCTTTATGGGATGAACTGTATCCGGAAGAGAATCAAGAGATGGATGAGGAGGTTATCCCTCGGTAGCTATGTCTCTATAGGGCGGTGACCCAGCAGGACACAGTATATGACACAGTATACAGTAACACGAGCGCAAAATCCTAGCAAAGCGGTCACTCGCGCACAATCCCAGCTAAGCGCTCACTCACGCGACAGTACGGAGTGAACCTCTCCCGGGAGTTTTTTTTTTTTTGTTTAATTCATTAATTGCATCCTCTCCCGGGAGTGCTGGTGGCGGGGTGGAACGAGTAATCATAATGTCCCATAAAGAACAGCCATGACTCCACCTCCAGACTACACAGCGCCGGATCGGGTATGGGAATTCGGTCAAATTCCATATTCTGTGATAACTAACATCACTCAGCCTCAGCTCATCCTCCGGGAGGCGGTATTCCTATTATGATACTGTTCGGCGTCAATATTATTGTATTAGATGTTATCCCATAGCTGGAAGGTGGTCGAGGTGCTACTTTAATTCCCACTTCCCCACGTCGCCGCTTCCCACTTCCCCGGTTGTCCTCCCCGGCAAGAACACCCCCGCCAATACCACCCACCCGCAGGCACAGCAAACCGCAGTACAACCACAATTATCATAACACCACACCCCCCCCCCACGCACGCCCGCGCCGCGCGAGACCTATATCCAGCACTCCACCATCAAACATAGCAACTCCATCATCACCAGATGGAATATCAACACACTTGAACGCCAGTGTTAGGGTTAGAGAAAGTATGTAGGAGAAGTAAAGTAATTGATCGTGTTAATTATTCTAGCTAAGGGGGAATGCCCCGTATTTATACCAATGAGAGGTAGTACAAAAGAAATACAATGAGTCATGGACGTGTGAGTAATAGAATGACTAATAGGAAAGTGAGTCATGCGCCGATGACAAATACTATAATGAAATGATGAGAATCTTCCAGAACTATGAAACGTGCCGAGCGCCCTATTTCAAGAAGGGTTACTCCACTTCCCGGGGCACAATGGCCGCCGGCGGTATGCTAGACGTGGAATAGTCATCCTCCGGCGTAGGAGGCGATCGGGGTTGGGTTGTGATATCTCTGGCTTGGGGTTGGGTTCGTGGTGTGGTTGTGGTGGTGGTGGGTGGTGGTGTGGAGTAGGTAGGGTAGTACGGTGTGTGGGGGGGGGGGGGAGGGTGCGAGATGAGGGTATGGTAGATTTGGTCCCGGTTGTGGGGCGCGGAGGTATGGGCGCGGCGTTGGTATGGCAGTTGGTGTATAGAGGTTGTACGGACACGTACCAGCGGGATGCTGGAGGTTGTGGGACGCGAGGGCTGGGGGGTTGTGTGTGATAGGCAGCTAGCCGGCGATCTTGAAACGGAGATAGTAATCCTGTGAAAGCGGGATAGGCAGCAGTATCCAACACTCGCATGAGGATGAACCTATGACCACCGAGTCTGATCATAGGCGGAAGCGGTGGAAGATCGCATTTGAGCCTCATCGCCGCTAACTAACACACTTACTCCCACCCTCCTCACAACCATAGACGTTCATTATTACACCCGCATACAGCTTACTCATCGCCCCGCCACCGCACCACCACCAAGCACACCTCGCGGCGATCTTCACCCACATTATCTCACCCCCGCGGTGCAGTGACTCTATACCCACGCGCACCACCGCCTGCGCATCCGTTCTATCCCCACCTCCTCCACCCGCTTCAGAACTATGCCACCACCCTCACCCCCCCCCCTCACCCTCCGACGCCAGCCGCAGCGGCTCCATCCCCGTCCTACCCCCGTGCCCGCCCGAGTGACACCCCATGCGCGAGTGACAGCCCATGCGCGAGTGAGACAGCATGACACGAGTGACGGCGCATGAGCGAGTGATGGCCCGTGAACGGGTCATACGCAGTGAGCGTGTGATCGTTGATACAACTCAGGTGCGGTTCCCTTTTTTTTTTTTTTTTTTGTTTAATTCATACTCGCATGCAACCATTAGGTGCACTGCCTAGATAGGCCTCAAGTGCAGTCGGTGCCGGTGTTGGAGGCGGGTTAGCGTATCTGTTCTTCCGTCCAACCAGGGTGCGGGCGTATGTGAGTTCTGGGTATGTTGACGCACCCAGAGAGAGGTGGACTCCCGGGGGGGGGGGGGGGGTGGGCAGGAATATTCGCCTAGAAAGGTACAACGAAGAAACCAGATAGCGGGCCCAGGTGTTTGTAGCTGTAGTCACTTTTAGACCACCATGCCACTTGCTTGAAATCGGAATATTATGAAAAACTGACAGAGACTGATATTACTACAGATGAATCTCATCTGGTACCGTCGGGCTTTGTGTGTACATGTAGGGTTGGGCATGGCTGGGGGGGGGGGGGGGGAAGGTAAATAACGATAACATACAGATGCAGCGAAGCTGACTACCGACGGAGAGTACTGTTAGGCACGAGCCGAGCTGGCTCGAGTTTTGGACTCGAATTTTGGGATCGAATACTTCAACCTCTCCTTCTCACGAGTGCAGGCCATGTAAGGCGCAGGTTCGCCACAGCTGCGAGTACATAGGAGAGCCAACGGTAGCTAGTATCACGTGGTGGATACTTGTAGCTAGATCATGGCGACAGAGTGTCATGACCACAGCAGCTATAGGAGGAGGGGTCGTCCTCCGAGACTTCGCCTCTCACTATCAATGAAGACAGGTAAGAACCTATTACAAGCCGTCTCGAACTGGCATTAGAAAGACTCGAACTTAGGCTTGAGCTTTTTGGGATATCGGTAGTGGCAAATTGGGACAAGATAACGGAGGTAAACGGTGACGGTCCAGTGTTCCTAGCCGTCCCGGGCGCCCTGCAGGGCACCGTCCAGTCCTGTGATGTGGGAGAAGACTGGACGGACGGCAGGGGGTAGTCCGTCCAGTCCTTGAAAATAGAGGACTGCAAAAGAGGGGCGGGCCGTATACGGCCCTGTAAGTACGTGCGTATAGATGGATGGCTATAGTTGACCGCAGTTGACTGCAGTTGGCTGCCGGGGACGGCGGGGAACGGCAAATGACTGCATATGAGCGCATATGACTGCAGAAGACCGCAGTTGACTTCAGAATCACGGTCTATGGTTCGGAATCCACTTCTCCAAAGTACTACTCAAGTCGGTATACTGAACGCCAACAGAACTCCTCTCTCCGTAATGTGATTAGTCAGTAATGCCAAGAGCCCGGCGGTCATGACGGCCGTCTTCAGTCCTGTGACACCGGGGCGCAGTCCGTTCTAGAGCGCCGCTCAAGACGCGCGGGACCCTTGGGAACGACTCATAAACCCTTAGAGTTCGTCCTTAAAGGTGACAGGGACGATGCATCGAGATGACCTTCTTTATCTCTTGAATTGGAGTTGGAGCCTAAGCTCCAGCTAGCCATCCTCCCGAGCTCGAATATCTACAGTCTTCGTTGGCACAACCCGAGCCGGCTCGAACTCTAAACCAGGCTCGTCTCGAACAGGCTCGTGCCAAACACTGACAGAGAGAGATATTCCGAAACATTGAACGGCAGAAAGCATAACCTGAACGTGAGGGTACTCCTGTAACATATCTAGGTGTATTCATAGATCGAAAAAAGAATAAATAGCAAGGAGTAAGAGGTAGGGGAAAGGAATGAAAAGAATCATTAGATAAAAGATAACAAATTGGAAATGGAAAATACATAGAGAGGCTGAAAAGTAATGTACAGGATTAAGATATTAATAGAAAATTAAGAAATACAGTAAAAGGATATAGATAATTAAACTATCACCAGGAGGTTAAGAAATACAGTAAAAAAAATAATATAAAAATAAGGGTTTATCCACCAATATGCCGCCAGCTCCTCCCCACCCAGCTCCTCCCCGCTCCGGCTTTCGGACCTCCATCCTATGCCACACCACCCTCCCCCTCCGAGTTACTCCCCTCTGGGCGGCGAGCTAGCTCTATAAATCAGTAGTAGGGAGTAGGTAGTCCACAAACGTAGTATACCAGAAAGCACTGGTCTTCTATGGTTGTATACTTTAATACCTTGGGGTCATTCAGGGAGCCAAAGAGCTCTCCTCGGCGCCCCAAGGTAAATGCTGCCGGTTCCCTCTGGAGCACTATGACATTTCCAAATGACTGCATACCGCAGCCAATCTGTAGGCCCCAAAGAGCAAGGTTTTGTTTTGCGCCACTTGGGCTGCTGCATGGTATAGTGTATGCTACCAGCAAGCGAGAGGTTGTGGGCAGCGCAAATGAAAGTACACCAAGAAGAAGTGCAAGGACCCCGTTTATCACGCGGGACCGAGAGGTGGAGAACCTATCAGCGACGCTCATCCCCGCCAGCGCCGCTGATAGGCACCCTATTGCCCCGACGGTGGCGTCTATCACCTTGACACAATCGGGTTTCTCAACCCTGTGTGGATAGGTCGACCAGATGGCGTCGAATAACAAGAAAAAAAAAGATAGGAACGAACGCAAGACTGACGCATAATTTGTAGTGCTCGAAGTACAGTCGTTTGATGTTCCACCAGGATAAAGTACGATGATTGTGTATCAATTGACGATTG